TTTTCTTAACTGCCCGCATGATACTTCTACAAGCTTGTTGTTCTTCTTTCTCCTTTCTCTTGATCAACTCTTGATCAATAATAGCTCTTGATGCTGGCACTTCTAACTCACATTCACACTGGTACTTACTACACAACATTAACCTTTTAACAATGGCTGTTTTGGGTTTTTTTGGGCAACTTGATAGTTCCTTCAGTAGGCCTATCATTTGGTCATCTTTCAGCCTTTACTTCCCACGTGGCTTTTCCTTTCTCAGCCCAAGCCAAGTTGATCATGTTAATTGGGGCTTCTAGGAAAGGATCTGTGTCAATCATCATATTGGCCTGGGGTTTCTCCAACAGCAACTTTCCCTTGACTATGAGGTCTTGTATCCAATCCCTAAACTGAACACAATTGGCTATAGAGTGGTTAAAAGTGTAGTGCAGTTTGCAATACTTCTTTCCCCTTAGCTCTTTTGGCTTAAACATCTTTTTGGTGTTGTCGGGCATAATCACTTTTGCCTGCAGCAACTCTTTATAGATCTTCGAGGCCTTGGTTAGATCAAAAGAATAACTCTGGTATTTAGGGGGTTTCATAGGGACAAATCCACCATCATTCATCACCACTTTCTGATCCTTAACTGGTTGGACTAACCCCTTTACTATTAAAGGTTTAAAGGGGGTAGTCATCTCTGCCGCACACATGTCCATCCTTTCTCTTCCATGGCCATCATTTTGTTCTAGCTCAGCTCCTTCAAACTCCAGTTGGTGAATTGCAGCTTTATTTTTGTAAAAAATAAGAAGCCTTGGATGAGTGTTTCACTTGTTGTTCTTCAAGCAACAACTTTTCATAATTTGTGGTAGCAACCGCCAACTCTTGCAACTTATTGAACTGTACATCATAAAACTTTTTCCTCAAAGGCAGCCTTAAAGCCTTTTGAGCAATGGATATGAGTTGGGCATGATTGATAAGGAATTGGCACCTCATTCTTGTCCTTCTGAACCTCATCATGCAGTCTTCTATAGACTCATGTCCTTATTGCTTCACCTCCACTAGGTCATTGGTAGACATCTAGGGCTTCATCCTATAGAACTACTCATGGAAAGCCATCTCCATCTGCCCCTAGTTAGCAATAAAATTAGGGGGCAACAAAGAATACCATTGAGATGCTAGGCTAACCAACGAGTTCCCAAACAATCTTAACTTATAATTAGAATTGTCTTCAAATGCCACGCAATGGTTGGAGAACTTGAAGATGTGATCTCTAGAGGATACACTGCCATCTTCCCCATTAAAAGTGGGAAACGCGGGTATCTTGAAGTTAAGTGGAAAAAGATTCTGCTCATCAATATACTCCAGGTATGGCTTTTGGTAGGTGATCTTGAACAGCGGGAGAGTCTGAGGTTGAGCATTCTGGCCATCATCCTTCTTAACTTAGCTAACAAATCTCTGAGTTGCTGGTTAGCTGTATTGTTGTATAGGGGATGTGGGGTTCCCCATTTCGGGCTGCGATCATTACCCGAGAAGGTTTCCTTCCTTGGGTCGGGTTTTCTCCACTTGGCATCCCCTCCCTTACTGACCAATGGTGGGCGCTTAGTAGGCTCGCCTTTCCACTAGATTCTCCGATTAATTGGGGCATCCCATACTTCTTTCTTTCTTGCCCACTCTGCCCCTTACTATCTAGTGAAAATAATAGGGGGTCGAGCAATTCCGCTTCTAGGATCTCTTCCAACACTGGCTTACTAGCTTCAGATTCTTCCTTATCCCTCCCTTTATTCCTCTTTTCCTCAAGCAAAGGAAATAAGGGAATAACCAGTTCTTTCTCAGGGCTCTTTTCCCTCATCATTTCCCTGGCATAACCATTCTTTGGAGTAGAGTACTCCAAATCTAATCTTTTTTACAGGCTCCAAGTTAAAGAACATAGTCTGCTTACTTCTCTTCTGGTTTCCAGAGTGATCTTCTCCATACTTTGCAGAACTTGTACCTTGGTGGCTTGCAAATCTTCATTGGTTACCTTCCCTCATATCTTCTCAGATAAAATCGAGCTTTCTAGAATAGCTGGTCCTTACAAGGAAGGAAAATCCTCTAGATGATTTGTCAGGCTCGATCTTGGTAGACACTAAGATGGCTCGTATTGTGTGTTCCACCTGATGGTTTTCTCCTTCCTTCTTCTTCTTGGCATACAAGACTATGAATATCCTACCGGGCATGCCAAAACTATGTTCGGGCGAAGATTTCTCTAGATAAGGGTCCTCGAACCTTAGCACAGCTCCCTAAGAGATTGGCACTTTGGATATGTAGTCGGGCTCTTGGTTGTTGATGTGCTACAAGAAGACGACAAAGTTAGTTCTGAAAGATGCATTTGTAGGGCCTTAGGTATAGGCCTTGAGGCTCGCAATCAAAACTAACTGAGTGCTAGGCATGCCACTACTATCTCAGTATAGCAGATGTACAACAAGAGTGCGTTTAGTCGATTACTTGCGCCCTAAGTTACTCGGACTTGTTGTTATCAAAGAATTGTTGTGGATGGATTAAGTCTACATTAAGTTCTTTTTCTTGCCTTGTAAACAAGGACTTTTAGTTCATAGTCTTGTATGTTTGAATGAAGGGAGTCCAGATCGCCTTAAGTCATTGTTTGGTCCTAGATTGCTTTTAATGAAGACATATTCATTAAACTAACCAGATCCAGATGCAAATAAGACTCTTAAAGTAGGAAAGCAAGTGGATAGGACTTGAATACATACAGAAGAATGCATTAAGTAATAGATCTACAAATTTAGAAAACAAACAAAAAACTTTGGACAAGATTTCACCTTGTCAGTCAAGGTTGAACCTCTTGCAGTTACTTCTCTTTGAATTAACAGGGGTTTATATGCCAAAAAGGGATGGGTGGTAAACAAGTTTACACAAGGGAATCGATACTACGCCACTAAGGGAGATAGCAAAGCTTTAAGCTGGACAAGAAATAGCTTGTCACTAAAAAAGACTAAATCTAGGTTGATTTCAGCTTTTGGATGCAAATCTTGCTTGAGAGCAAAGTTTGTATGTTTGTTTGTTTGATTGGTTGAGTGTCTTTGTCTCTAGGGTCTCTTCCTCCTTTTATAGGCAGATTAGCCCGACTGCTGCAACTTTGTTCTTGCCCGAAAGCACTTGGAGGGTAGTGAGTCATCAGCTTTTTACTTGGAATGCCACTAGTAAGTGTTCTTTGGCTGGTAGTAGGTTAGTCTTCATCACCTGTCACTTCAATAGTAAGCACGTGGCTTGTATTTGGCTGAGAAGGCTTCAATTTGCCTTTGGGCTTGGTGTTGGGCTTTGAGCAAGTTCCCTTTTAGTTGGCACCCTTGGGCCTTCCTTTATCTAAGTCCAATGTTCAAATATTAACCCAAACACCAACCAATGGGAAACATTAATTATCCCATCAGTGAGAAATGAGAATACATATTGGTATAAGATTCTTGGTTATTGGCTGACTTTTGTTGGAGAACTCATGCCAATTTATAGAATAAATATCAACTAACTAACTAACTATATATATATCACAAGATGTATCTCCCATATTATTCCTATATATGTAGCTATTTCCCCATTCATGTCATGCCAATTTATAGAATAAATATCAACTAACTAACTAACTAACTAACTATATATATATATATATCACAAGATGTATCTCCCATATTATTCCTATATATGTAGCTATTTCCCCATTCATGCCATTTGAAACAAACGTTTTTCTTTTCCATAATTCATTTTTAGCCTTGGAATCATATACATATCATAATTCTCTGTGTCTTATTTTTTCCAATATATATCTTTGACCAAATTATTTATGGGAATTTTAACGAAAAGCTCCTGGTACTGTTCACTTTAATGAAAAACCACATTTTTACACTAAAAAGTCAATCTAGGTACTATTCAATTTACCCTTTATTTTGTCCTTATCGTTAAAACTCAAAGTTTTCAAGCTATTTTCATTAGTTTTCCTATTATTTATATACTAACCCCAATAGGATTGGTCTAGTGGAAAGCGAGTAAAGGTTTGAAACTTTCATCTGAATTCGAATTCACGCGGATGCATTCTTTGGTTTTACCGGCTTTGCTTTAACCTACCGATATGTATATGAATATCTTCACCAAATTATTTGTTTATGTATGTACATATATATCTTTTTCTTCCGATATCTTACACGTTATGCTATGAAACCATATATTAATATAAACCATATATTTCAATCAGAATATCTAATCAATAATTTAGATTAATGTTCAACAAAAATCATGGACCAATATTTTCAAACATATATTTTGTATTTTGTTGTGTGGTGGAGTGATGTATATAATTTAGAGAGAATCAAAAGCATATGACGAAGAATGGGGCCAGTCTGTCCTGTATGAAATTAAATCGATCCTCACGTAGTCACGTTATTTGTCTTTCGCATCGGTCACGGACATATTTCCTTTGCTTATATATTCCACTACCTCCTGTCCCTGCCGCTTTGTCTTGCTCCCTTTGCATTCCATCACACACTATTATCTTTTGAAAAATATTTTCTTGGCATAAGAAACAACTCTGAATGACAAAATGATCATGTGAGTCACAAAACTTCCCTTGTGCTTGTTCACGTGACAGTGTTCTTAAGGTTGTATTATTATTTGGAAATTCTTTTCTTTTTTAAGTTCCCATATACTGCACCTAGAAAGTTGTTCAATCTTAACTTGATCACACATGTGCAACGTAAAACTACAAAAAATGTAACTAAGTGAACTAATCAATTAAGAAAAGATTAAGTGGGAGCGTTCTTGTCACGTCACAATTTTAATAATACGAAGAAAAAAACTTACAAGAAATTTCTCACGAAATTTTTTCTTAAACTGACGAGGATCTATATATCTTGAAATAAACTATTTATTACACGCATAGAAACGATGCTACCATGAAATTGTACATTTTGCTGATAAGAACATGAATCAGGGTTTAGGGTTTGTCTATAATTTGAATTAATTGGTTTGTTCTTGTGCAGTTTCTTGGATAAGGCAGCAATCAAGGACCCAAAAACTGAAGGTGGTAAAACTGCGATCGTAAACAAGTGGAGTTTATCAACCCTAACCGATGTTGAAGAAGTAAAAATGATCATCAGAATGCTACCAATCTGGGCCACTACCATCATGTTTTGGACAATTTATGCCCAAATGACCACATTCTCAGTGTCCCAAGCAACCACCATGAACCGCCACATCGGAAAATCGTTCCGAATTCCGCCGGCATCCCTCACTGCTTTCTTTGTAGGCAGCATTCTGTTAACTGTCCCGGTTTACGACCGGATTATAGTCCCAGTTGCAAGAAACTTACTAAAAAACCCTCAAGGACTAACCCCATTGCAGCGCATAGGGGTTGGTTTGGTATTCTCAATATTTTCCATGGTTGCAGCAGCACTCACAGAAGTCAAGCGTATGAATGCTGCAAGAGCACATGGTTTGACAGGCAATCCAAAGGCTGAGATCCCACTGAGTGTTTTCTGGCTGGTCCCACAGTTCTTCTTTGTGGGGTCAGGAGAAGCCTTCGTGTACATTGGGCAGCTGGACTTCTTCCTCAGGGAGTGCCCGAAAGGAATGAAGACTATGAGCACAGGGCTGTTTCTGAGCACCCTCTCATTAGGGTTTTTCGTGAGCTCACTGTTGGTGAGTTTAGTGCACAAGGTGACAGGGGACAGGAAACCATGGTTTGCAAACAATATCAACCGAGGAAAGCTTTATGATTTCTATTGGCTTTTAGCGCTTTTGAGTGCTTTGAATTTGGTGGTCTATTTGTTTTGTGCCAATTGGTATGTCTACAAGGACAAGAGGCTTGCTGAGGAGGGCATAGAATTGGAGGAAGTAGAGACTTGTGTGCATTAATAATGCATATTTTTCAATTACTTCCCTATCTTGTGTCTTTGTTTTTTTTTTCGTTTTTTTTTTCTTTTCTTACATAAGCTTGTACAAAAGATAAGAAATGAAGAATCATTAAAGGTAGCTAATGATCTGCTCCACTTGTTTTTTTATTTTACTTTGATTATGTTTTAGAATGCAATAATGCGTGTACTTATGATTGTATTTAATTACTTTATTGACTACCTCTCTAATAGTTGTCACTCCAACCTACATCTATATGAGATGAATCTTTGTTAGAGCATCTCCAGTCGGAGTGCATATGTAGATGTATAACACACATACATCACTTGTTCATTGGAAAGTCTTTTGGTAGGCAATTTTAAGGGGATATAAAATATCCATCTTGGCATAAAAATGTAAATATTTATATATATTTACATATTTTATCACATGTCCAAAAGAGGTGTCCAAATTCATATTTACACCTCCCAACTCGAACAAAAACCAAATTTACATGATTACATGTTCCTAAAATGTCCATAAGATATAAAATTTTACATTTCAAATTTGCAACTCGCGATTGGAGATGCTTTTTAAAAGGTGATCAATAATGTGACTTCTAACTTGTGGTCCAATTAGAAAGTGGGTAATTGGAGCTGATTAATTACTTTAGTTATAGAACATCCACCAACGCATCCATAATTATTGGAATTCAAACCCTTCCCCTCACAGGTCTTAACATCTAGTTTGAATAATTAAAAAAAAATGCCTCATATGTAAGTCTCATGTGCTAACAATAACTGAATAGTTTCATTTTAAGGAAAACTAATGAAAATGGCTTGAAAACTTTAAGTTTTAATGATAAGGACAAAATAAAGGGTAAAGTGAATAGTACCAGGATTGACTTTTTAGTGTAAAAATGTGGTTTTTCGTTAAAGTGAACAGTACCGGGTGCTTTTCGTTAAAGTTCCCTTCATTTTAACCTAATATATATGGCTCAGGTGCTAATAATTAACGGAGAGTTAACCTAATTTTCAATTTGTAACCTAAATCCTAAAAGACTTCACCATATGGGTTCAAATCCGAATTTTTTTATCACGGAACCTGACTATCGTCCAATTACCCTATTACCATGGGGATCATTAATCCAATTTATCTGTTAAAAAAATCAGAATCAATCAAGGTAATGTAGGGGATATACAATTGTTTTGGTATGATTTGTAGCGATCACATTATCAACCATTTGGAATATAATATAATATAATTTAATTTAATTTAATTTAATTTAATAAAAATATAATTTAATTTAATTTAATAAAAAATTTAATTTAATTTAATTTACAATAATATGATGGAAGAAATAGTAATACAATATTATTCAAAACCAGTGGCTAGATGTCACTGTCTCGGCATGGGATGCATCCTTGTCCGTTAGAATTTAGAGCATTTGGACCTCTAAATTTAATCGTTTATCCAAAAGTTCATCACTCTCACAATAATTCAACAACTCCACTGTAACAGTGCCCATTTCTAACTTAAATACACTTATCACTTAGTACTACGGTGTAATGGTATTTCTCTTCATTTGTAAGCGAGAGGTCTAGATTCGATTCTTTCCAAATGCGAATTTAAACTACATTATTGCTAACACGTTGTGAGGCTAAGCACAACCTCCCTTAGTGTTGATAATATCGTCTGCTCAGGAAAAAAAAAAGAAAAAAAAACTCAAGTGGCATTTATTTATGATGAAAAACTAATATTAGATCCAAGTCTAAATCATGCTGCAAGTGGCATGTTACTATAATGGTGGAAAAGAGTTGAACTCTTAAATAAAGGCATGGATTGATAATTAATCTAACATCTAGTCTAACAAAATCTATCTTTGACCAAAAAAAAAAAAAGTCTAATTCGTGTTAGAATTAGAATAGGTCTATTGTCCATTTGAAGCAATTATACCAAGGGCATTTCTAAAGCGAGTGAGGACTGGACTAGGCGATACAAAAGGCCAAGCATAATTAAATATCAAACTAAACATAAATATTTTACGTCATTAAACCTGAGATTTTTAACTTACAAGTGAATAAAAATATCACAATATCGTAGTAATAATAATTGAATCAATTCACATTGGTCCAAGTAGCTTTACTTGCCTATTTCATCCTTGCATGTGCATATTTGATGCTTTAGCTTTCAGTTATTTCTATTTTGATAGTCATTTGTAACCTCTCTCATTTTTTTTAGTACAACAATACATTTTATACTAAGAGATGAGAGAGTTCGAGTAAATCACACAATGACAACCAAATTTGGTATCGAATTCGCACGTAGATTCGAACATAAACCTCTCACTTTCAAGAAAAGATAAAATACTACCAAACCGTAGTTCTAAGTGACATCTTTTTCTCATCTTAGTTTCTACAATTTGTAAGTGTAAAGACAAGCAAAAATCTAGACATTTTAGTAAATTAACTTTCAAATGGAAATCATAATTTAGGGCCTTTTATCGTAACTCAAAAAAGGTCGTACCCAGTGCACAAGGCTCCCGCTTTACGCAGGGTCTGGGAGAGGTGAATGTCGGCTAGCCTTACCCCCATTTATGGAGAGGCTGCTCCCAAGTCTCGAACCCGAGACCTACCGCTCATGGACGAAGGCACTTGCCATCGCACCAAGTGCGACCTCTTTTTTATCGTAACTCAAACTCGAAAAATTATAATTTGTCGAATATCAAGTCGATGGGTCTGCATATATCGAATTCAGACTCAGATTAAGTTTGACCCGAACCAAATACAACACGATGATAAAACTACATTTTTCTTTTTATTACTAAGAGAATACAATTAAATATGAAAATGCTCAACCAATGGTTGGCACCAATAGAAAGGGAGAAAAAAACTACAACATATGTGACAGATGAGGAGAGGGAGGGAGAGGGATTAGATAAACGATAACATTACAAGGATACATATATATATAAGACTACAATCTAACCATCAACTTACAGTCGAATAAAAGAGAATTCTCGTTTAAATGCTCAGATGCTATCAATCTCCTGATCATACTCTTGAACAAAACACCAAATCAGGAAATGCCAAGCTATAATGCTCGCAGTTTCGACTGTGACCATCTCAACCCAATTTATGTTTCCTGCATTATCAGAAAATTTACAAATAATAAAGTCTCGACACTTCTAGTGAACAAGTTCAGTAGAGTTAAATCATATATCTATGGAAGTGGAAAGACTTGTGGATATTGCGAAAATATGGTTTTCTGGACAATAAGCACCCACCTGAATTAGAATCATGACCCTTCTGATTGCTCATCCAGCCCTTCGTTAAATTCACCAAAAATGTCTGGGCATTCATCCCATTGTCCCTGATTCCTTGTTTCCCAATAACCACCAACATAGCGGAATGATCCATCTTCACGTTCTCTCTCGAACCATCTGGGTTTCCACCCGTTTTCTTGTAGTTTCCTCGACTGTGCATTGAGAGTTTCAAGGATCATCACCAGCATTAATAGTAATAAAGTAATATTTCAGTTAAATCATATGCCATCTTCTCATAAACATATTTATTGCAAACTATAATACACTGAAAGTATTCCTAAAGATTTGTATATTTGAATGCATCAAATAATTTTCTGTATTTGCTCTTCAAATCTGCAAGGAACTGAGTAATACATTGTAAAAGCATAAGAAGAGTAAACGGGGCAAGAGTAAAGCCATGCTTTTTTCTCACGTTGCAACTGGGTGAAGTTGCTGAAGTCACTTGCAATGCAACCAACCAACATTGACCAAAGAGTATAGTAACTTCTTACATGTCAGCAATATTTTCTCCAACTGTCCAACATAAAAGTTGTTTCAATGACACAGTTGACTCTAATTTGGCAAGTGACTTGTCTCTAGTACGGATTATTCATCATTTGGTGTGATCATGGTATAAAATTTAACTTTGATCGCATTAGGTATAGGAGTGTAATAAATATTTCAAATTGGGAAGATCATAGAAAAACCATATAAAATGACCAAGGAAAACAATATGAATATCGGATTACCTTCTACATGTAAAACCTAGCACAAGTAAAAAGAAAATCAGCTGATGAGGCTGGCATGGGTGTCTGTGTGTGTGTGTGTCTCTGTGTGTGCGTGTGTGTGTGTGTGACCAAAAGATACGAAAAGAAACCAAAATACCATTCTTTGCCTTTTTTCCAATCGCTGTTTCTCTGCATTTGCCTTTTCGTACTCTCCATTCTCTAGATGCCGTTGGTCCGGCCTGAGCCTGGAATCGGTGGGTGGGAGCTTCTCCTTAATCATGATCAAATACCCAGGATCAGACAAAGCTATAAGAAACAATTTGATGTGCATAAGGGAAAAATGAAAATGCATATGAAACATTTGATGTATTACATCATGTATACCTGCAGTCCAGGTGTTAGCTCATTCAGTGTCATTGCGAATGATGTTAAGTTGTATCGTGTGACATTAGGAGGTTTACTACTTTTCCACAACAATGAAGCATCTGAAGGATTTAACTTGCGACTCCCATCACCATTAACATAATGCATGCTTTCATCCCACTTCCCAAATAATGTAGCAACCTTTTTCCCCGTGACATCTTCCACAAATCCATGGACCTATGTGGGTGTAGAGTATACAATTGCAATCAATCCAGCAGCACAATATCAGGCCGGTACACAGCAATGAGAATGATTCAACATTCTCTACAGCAGAGAACCATCATACTAGACACAAATAAGAAACACACCACTAACCTGGTGAGGATTTCGGTCAAGAATCGATTGCTCTTTGAACTTCAGTCTGCATGAATGCTGACGATTACCACGTATATGCATTGTACCATGGTGATCACAATATACTTTACCAAGAATTAGATTGTATATGCTTGTTGTGACCTATTACAAAACATAGAGATATTTAAGCACACTTGTAGCATACATAAAAAAAATGCAACATAGTAATGCACACCTTGGTGGTTATATTAGGCAAGAAAATGATTCTAACGAGCTGTCAATTTAGAGCAAAACGCAACATAGTAAAGCATACCTTGCTCCACTGGAAAAGTTCACCATCATCAAACTGCAAGCTAAGAACTCCAACGGGGTCAAGCTGAATTGATCGTCCCCAAAATTTTGTGTGGATATTG